TCTGATGGTAGGACACTTTTCTTGTAATTACCCAGGATTTGACATGAATGAATACGGTTTGATGTTCTTGGGTAATAACACAGCTGTTTGAGATGTAATGCTGTCTATAACATTGCATCACCCATTTTTTTTAATTTATAAGTTTGACCTGTTGCTTGTGCTGTGGTATAAGCTACATGAAAACAGCGACTTGGCTTGGTCACTGCTGTGTCCTTAGTGTTATGTCTGGGAACATATTAACACTCAGAATATGTGTTGGATGAAAATATGATGGTTTGGAAGTAAATGATTGTTTTAGGCTCCAAGTTTTAGGAAACCAGTTCAACCCAGTTTAAATAATAAATTTTCATTTTGCTTAACAGCCTTAGGATTAGAGTGGTTTCCCTGTCAGTGACTCAGTAGAGTTAGCACCACAGTCAGCTGCCCTCAGGCTAGTCCCCTCTAGTCAGCAGTGAGCAGCAGGCACCTGCACATCCACTGGGGGGAAAGCGGAGACATTGCCTTTCTGATTCTCGTTCACCTGGGACTGTATGAGCATCTGAATATGTGGGGGGGTGGGGGTGGGATGGGGAAAAATGAAAAACTTCTCTCTTGGTGAGGACAGCATGAGTTGGCAATAATTGCAAGGACATTAAAGAACCTTTACAGTAGGAGATTTTGGAGATGCTGAAGTATAGGATGAACCAAGCTTGTGGGGCTCTTTTTGCAAAGGTTAGGAGAGGGGAGAATTTAGCCATACTTAGATGTTGGAAAAATTAAAGGTAGGGAGACTACTTTGTTCTTTTCAGGTGCCCACTTAGGCTTTTGCTCTGTTTTGCTAATAACCCTTAAAGAGAATACCTAAAAATGCTAAAGTAGAAAACCAAAGTGGCCCATAATCTCAGCCTCCAAATAAAATCTTTTTTTTTAATTAAAAAAAGTTTTTTAAGTTATCTTAATGCCCAGTATGAGGCTGAAACTCATGACCCGAGATCAAGAGTTGCACACTCTACCAACTGAGCCAACCAGGCTCTAAAATCTGTTGATTAAATAAAAAGGATAGAAGTGATTGGGTGGTTCAGTTGATTGAAAGTCCCACCTTTGATCTTGTTAGTTAGTTCAAGCCCTGCATTGGGCTGCATGCTGGGTGTAGATCCTACTTAAAAAAAAAAAAAAAAAAGGGTGGATATAATGCATGCAGATTGTTAAATAATTTAAATATTACAATAAGGTGTAAAAGGACTGACTAGTCACTTTTCTGATGCATATGCAGCCTTGCCTCACTCCTCTCTTCAGATACACGTCCTTAACAGTTTCTTTGATTCCTTCCACAAAATAATTACGCAAGTATCAGCACATACTGTTCTACCTCCTTTTAAACATCTGCAGTTGAGTTCAGGCCCCACGTCGGGCTATGTACTGACAGCTCAGAGCCTGGCACCTGCTTCAGATTCTGTCTCTCTCTCTTTCTCTCTCTCTCTGCTCCTCCCTCACTCATGCTCTGTCCCTGTCTCACATTAAAGAAAATTAGAAACATTAAACATTAAAGAAAATTAGAAAAGAAATCTGTGTAATGATCTGTCACATGTCTGGAGGGCAGGTACCCTTTGAGTGGTCTTCTGATGTGGGGCAGTTTGATTGGAGCTAGTGTTTGCAGTATAAGCAATATTACCACATATAAACAGATGTGTTGGTGAACCTCTGCACATGTATCAATGAGATATAATCCTAGTAATGGTGAAATCGCTGGGTCAGAGTTTATGAACATTTTTTGATAGCTGTTGTCAAATGCCAGAGGCTGCCTCCAGCAGGTCCAGGGGTCCCTGAAGGATGGATGGTGTTGGCAAGAGAGAGAGTGAGAGAGCTCCGAGATTCTTTCTGATCACCAGGCAGGCATCTCTGTCCTGTAGTTTTTTGGTGTCTTTATTTAAGGGCCCAAAGACAACATGAGATCAGAAAAAGGAATTTTTACAATGGAAAGCTCTTTGTAATAAGATACTTTGAAAAGTGTACAAGAACAGGTTTTTCAGAATTATTCTTGCAGAATTACTCCAATCATAGTGAGGTTGAGTAAACCTTACAACTAAGGAAATAACAGGATGCTCTTATTGAAAAACAGGATGACATACATATTTGTTTTAAGTTAATAACGCTAGCATTAGGACATAGGTTATGTGTATAGATGGGCTAGGAGTCATTTTGTCTGGCTCACAAGAGGACGAATGTTTTTGAGCTGGTAAATAAGTTCTTTGTGAGAACCTTTTTGACTTGATACTGAATGCATAAACACCATGGAGGCCCTAAATGTGTCAGTCTCTGTTTTTGGGTTCTGTTTTAGCTACTCTTACCTATTCTCATCCCAGCCACCAGTGTAAGGCAGGTGTTTGTGGAAAGTAGGCCTTAGGGAAGGGACTGCCATACATCACCAGGTAGAAAAGGTATTAACTTAAGTTCTGCCCTTATCTGTTCCTTAACTCTAAATTAGGCTCTTTGTCTCGGGGCCAGACTCAATTGTAACTCCTGTGTTCTTAACCCCCTTTATTATCTAAGTCTTGGATCTACAAGGCCCATAGGAAGAACCTTTTGATAATCATCCGAAGTGCTTTCATCTAAAATCTCATTTGAAGAGGGAGGAATATGCTTTTTCTTATGAGGTATCTGTGTGCGGAATATCGGTCTGATTTGGAATATTGTGAGGCCTGGTCAATACTCACAGGCTCATTTCCAACATTAGCCAGTAGTAGCAGAAGGAGATACCAGTTTTCATTTCTCATGGCAGGAACTGTGCAAACATTGCCATTTCCTTGCTGTGACTGCCATCCAGAGAGGCCAATGCGGCTCCCAGCAGTCAAAGTTTCTTCCCAGAAGTTTGCAATGTTTTTTGTTCCTGCCATCATGCTTACTCCTTTCTGGATGTAATGGTTTTTTTCATTTGTGCCCATCTGATAGGTAATATTGTTAACTTGTGTTTTGAATTTTGTCTCTTGAATTTAGAGACAAATTGAATGTCTTACAAATTTATTGCCCATTTGTTTGTTTTTTTGTGAATTGCCTGATGATTATCATTTGTTATGTATGAGTTTTATACGCAAAGGAAAGTAGCTCGTTGCTGCCATATAATTCTAAATGTTTTTTTTCTTTTTTCCTTTTTTAAAGTTTATTTAGAGAGAGGGGGGTGAGGGAGACAGATAGGACGGGGCGGGGGGGGAGCGGCAGAGAGCCCAATTTGGAGCTCGAACTCGTGAACCATGAGATCATGACCTGAGCCAAAGTCAGATACAACCAACTGAGCCACCCAGGCGCTAAGTGTTTTTTCTTAATCTTGTAACTTCTTGACTTTTTTTTAAATGTCATCCAGATTTTTATTTTTATGGAGTTAAATTTATCACACCTCTTCTTGATTTCTGGTGTTTTGCTTTGATCAGGCCACTCTGCCTGTTTACACCAGTTCACATCTGACTGGGCCCTATGAAGTCGATAGGGCACACCATGTTAAAGCTAAGGCAGCAGACCCCAGAGCCCCAGGACACTGGGCATGTTAGGAGAAGCCACAGGTCCTTGACAGAACTAACTCTTAGTGTTCCTGGGGCTGCTTTATGTCTCTTGAGGGCCATTAGGTTTTGTAAGGTGTGCAAGAATGTTGAGGCTAAACCCTAGAGTGGAAGGTGGGGGGAAGGGTTATATTGGCCCCCCTGAGTAGGTATTAGGTAATTGCTAGGTGGCCAGTTAGGTAAAATGGCTTTGGTCCCTTCCTCAGCTAACATAGAAAGGGATGAGAATGGAGAGTTAGAGCAGATGGCTGTGATTTTGAGATATAATAAGAAATACGTGAACTTCTAAAATCTTGGAACTTCCTGGGGCTCCTGGGTGGCTCAGTCTGTTAAGCATCTGACTTCAGCTTAGGTCTTGGGTTCAAGCTCTGTGTCAGACTCTGCAATGAAAGCTCAGATCCTAGAGCCTGTTTCAGATTCTGTGCTTCCCTCTCTTTCTTTCTTGTGCATGCGCTCTCTCTCTCTCTCTCTCAAAAATAAATAAACTTAAAAAAAACAACCTTAGAATTTCCTGAGATAGAGGCGCTAGGAGTGTCTTGTGATTCGTAAGTGCCTTTCATAAGTGCCATATCTAAGTTTATGCTAATGAGGTGACCCTTGGTGGGCCCCCAGGTAACTTCCAGGATGGGGCTGGTTGCTGAGGATCACCCTTGTGATTGTAATCACAAGCTTAGAACTTCCAGGGGCACTTGAGTGACTCAGTCGGTTAAGCATCCAACTCTTGATTTCTGCTCAGGTCATGATCTCATGGTGCAGAGCCTGCTTGGGATTATCTCCCTCTCTCTGCCCCTCCCTTACTTTCATACTCTTTTTCTCTCTCTCAAAATAAATAAACTTAAAAAAAAAGAAGCAGCTTAGAACTTTCAGTCCCATCCCTGGACCTGCAGGGATGGGGAGAAGCTGGGTATTAAGTTCAGTCACCAGTGGCCAGTGATGTAATCAGTCATGTCTACCTAATGGAACTTCCCTTAAAACTCCTAAATGCCAGGATTCCAAGAGCTTCTGGGTTAATGATTGCATAGAGGTGCTGAGAGGGGGTGGTATGCCTAGAGAATCTACCATCTTGTTTTTCTTGAGTTTTATCCTTTATAATGAACAGGCAGTGGTAAGTACAATGCTTTCCTGAGTTCTGTGAACCATTCTGGCAAATTATCAAATTTGAGGAGAGGTTGTAAGACATCCCAGTTTGTAGGTCAGAAATACTGGAGGCTCAGGACTTGTGTCTAAAGTGGGAGCACTCTTGTAGAACTGAGCCCTGAACCTGTGGGGTCAGATGCTAACTCCAGGTCGGAGGTGAATCGGGTTGAATCAGTAGACATCCAGTTGGTGTCCAGAGATTTGGAGAGTTGGTTATTAATGTTGGAAAGACCCCACACATTTGTACTCAAAAGTGTTGTAAGCGAAAAACAGGTTATGTGGGCCATTCTCTTTTCAGGGTGTAATTTTTGAACCTCGCTGTTTCTTTTATAGGTGGAAAGATGGCGTTTGTGAAGAGTGGATGGTTGCTGCGACAGAGTAAGTACAGGATGTGAGCCCCTTGGTCTGGGTTGAGTGTTGCCCTCAGGTACATGTTTATTTCTGTTGCTGAAAGAGATCGCATTTAAAAACAAATTAGGGGCACGTGGGTGGCTCAGGCCGTTGAGCATCTGATTGGCTCAGGTCATGATCTCACAGTTCCTGAGTTTGAGCCCTGTATTGTGCTCTGTGCTGACAGCTCAGAACCTGGAGCCTGCTTCACATTCTGTGTCTCCCTGTCTGACCGCTCTTATTCTCTCTTTCTCTCAAAAACAGAAAACAAACAAATAGTGAAGTCATATTAATGTTGCTCTGGATGTCCTCTTGGAAATTTTAGAGCTCTGTGAACTGTGTTTCTGCTCACACAGTTCTTTCTTGGTTGCTGCCTTGACAGAAACCAGAGAATTGTGGTAATCTCTGCTGTTTTCTCCTTTTCTTACTAGCATGGTGTATTCATGGCTGACCTGAGGCCCTGCTTGAATCTAACCAAGCTGAGCTGATATGTTAGCATGGGGGTACTACTCTTTTTGTGGGAAATACCTGTCTTATCTGGGGATTGAACAGTGGCTAGGATTCTGAAATACTGGAGACTTTAATTGTAGGGAAGAAGATTAGACCTGAGGGAATGAGTTTATTTAGAGCAAATATTTTGGATTTCCAAAAGGACTCTGCAGAAGAGACTCAATTCTTTATGGAGTTGAATTCACATTCTTAGACCCATATGTGTGTGTGATGATCTTTCATATAATGTTTATTTCTGAGACTGCCTCCAGAAGTAGGATTCATGGTATGTTCTGGAGCAGGAAGAACTGTCTCTGTTTATTAAGGAAAGAGTTAACAGATTATTCTCCTGTTCTTCTAGAAAGAGCAGAGTTAAGGGAAAAATGACTAGTACATCATTTAGTACTCTAGCAAAAATACTGAGCTGTGGTTTACACTTTTGATTGTTCAGATGCAAATTTCTATGTGGGGGACACCTAAAATGGAGACTGTGAAGAATGGACTGCATACCTTAGATAGTTTATAAAAATCATTATTTGTGAAGCTGGTTTGTGACTCTTTATAAAGGTTTTACATATATTATATGTAATTACCCCAGCAGCTCTTCTACAGAAGAAATTGAATTTCAGTGATATTTGGTAACACTAACAGGGTAGCAAACCTGTATTCAGATGCAGGAGTGTTATCATTTCAACACTGACACACTTTCTACCAGGAGAGAAGTTCAGCTTATTTGTCCTGTCACTAGTTCTGCATTCCCAGACCTGGAGCTGAACCAGGTGTCCCTCAAGGTCTCTGGCCATCCTGTATTCTAAGAATAGATCAAGCCATTACAATGTTGGCTTTAAAAAGAAAGTTCTGGCATATTGGAGCCTAGCCCCAGTCTTTGTGTAAGTTTTCTTGTCTTGGATTCTGTGATCCTGTCCTTCCCTAAATTGTCAGGGGATGTAGAGAACCGTGCTCAGACCTTGAGGATATATGTGTCTTCCTTCCCTGGCCCTTTGGATGTCCTGGTTTTCTGCAGAAAACCTGCCTCTGGTTTTCTCCTTAGGCTTTACTGCGCCCCTGACTGAGGGCAGACTGTCTCCACCATGACTCAGTGTAAATGTTCTGTCAGTATAAGTGAAAAGGGACCATTTTGACAGTTGGGTTTTGCTCCCTGCTCCCACTCCATCAATGCCTAGCATGATGATGTACACAAAATAGAGGGCTTTTAAATAAGTTGTACAGACTTTTCCAGTGTCCTGGTCCATGGCAGTCTCAAAATCTGTATATTCAGAAGATTACTACATTTCCCTATCTGCTAATGTGTGGGTTGATTTTCCTTCTTTGCAAAAGCAGAACTATCACAATAAAATAAAATGAAGTGAAATGCATTATATCCACTGTGTAACAGAGAATGGTTACATGTTTGCTAAGTGGTCTTCCGGAATCTCTTTCTTGCTGTTGCCACACAGACCCTTAGGACATTAGGGCTCTGGAGGACAGCTGAATTTGGGAATCTGCAGTCCGGGCTTTGGTGGCGGGTAAAATATTTGGGTAGAACTCTCTCATCTAGTGATTCCACCTATCTTGTTTGGGTGGCTTTCTCTGGTAGTTTCTGTATAGCTCAGGGGCTGCCAGTCGGATGCTGATGTCACTAGTTATCAGTTTGGGCCAGTGCTGTGGATGCCCCTCTCAGCAAGGAGGGTGCCTGACGGTGGAAAGTTTGGAAGGCAGACGTGTTGCCTATTTGCTTAACACTGGTGGTGGCCATGGGAGCATAAGGAGAGGCACACAGAATGGGATTTGTGCATGATGGCCAGGAATGGAGGAAGAGAGTGAGGAAGGGATAGGAGTGAGTTGGCCTTTTAGTTTTCCCTTCTGGCTGACATGGGTACTTGAGTTTTATGAAGTTGAGTGCCTAGCCCAAGATTACAAATGACAGGATGAATTCCTTAAGCTGATGGGGACGTGTGAGGTAGTGGAGACAGAAGCACAGAGGATGGGGGTCAGTGTCCTGGGTGGGTGCACCCGGTGTCTGAGCAACCCTCCCACACCCATGGACTTTAAGGGAAGGTGAGTGTTAGAGAGGAGTATATGTGAAAGCCCTTGGAGAAAAAGAAAAAAACATTTTTCCCAAAGTGGAAGGCATTATTATCTGTACTTATTATCTGAGACTTCACAGTCCAGTGTTTTCTGATAAGGCTAGCAAAGTTAAATAGTGGAAAGTTCAGATATACTACATGAAAAATTAAATATTAGGTGTTTCATTAGTCAAAAGGAAGGATTCTGTTATTTTATTAAAACAATTTTTAAATGTTTTATTTATTTCTGAGAGAGAGAGAGAGAGACAGCATGAGCAGGGGAGGGTCAGAGAGAGAGGGAGACACAGAATCTGAAACAGGCTCCAGGCTCTGAGCTAGCTGTCAGCACAGAGCCCGATGCAGGGCTCGAACCCATGAACTGTGAGATCATGACCTGAGCCAAAGTCAGACGCTTAACCGACAGCCACCCAGACACCCCACAAAAAAAATTTTTTTAATGTTTATTTACTTTTGAGAGAAAAAGAAAGAGGCACAAGTGGGGGAGGGGCAAAGAGAGAGGGAGAAACAATCTGAAGCAGGCTCTAGGCTCTGAGCTGTCAGCACAGAGCCTGATATGGGGCTTGAACTCATGGACCATGAGATCATGACCTGAGCTAGTTAGATGCTTACCTGACTGAGGCACTCAGGTACCGCCAGAAACTTTTTTTAAATACAGTTGACACAATTAGTTTCAGGTATATAACTCTGTCATGCTATGCTGTGCTCACATCTGTCCCCATACGTCACTATTATAGTGTCACTGACTCTCCTTCTTGTGCTGTGCTTTTTATTCCACTGACTGGCACATTTGATAATGTATATATGTGTGTATGTGTATATATGTATACCATATGAGTGGAATCATATGGTATTTGTCTTTCTCAGTCTGATTTATTTCACTTAACATAATACCTTATAGGTCCATCCACGTCATTGCGAATGGTGCAGTCTCTTTTTTTATGATGGTAATATTTATGACTGTGTATATAAACATCACATCTTCCTTATCTGTCTGTTGACGGACACTTCACAACTTACATTGCTTCCATGTCTTGGCTGTTGTGAATAATTCTGTGGTAAACATAGAGGTGTGTGTATCTTTTTGAATGAGTGTCTTTGTTTTGTTTTGTTTGGGTAAATACCTAGTAGAATTATTGGAGTATACTGTCTTTTAGTTTTGGGGGGAACCTCAATACCTTTTTCCGTAGTGACTGTGCCAATATGCATTCCCACCAACAGCATACGAGGGTTCCTTTTTCTCTATATTTTCACCAATGCTTCTTACCAAAATCAAGGTTTTATTGAACTTTTTTTTTTTTTTTTTTTGAAAATTTAGGTCTATTAAGTTAGCAGCATTCTTAGTATCTTTAGCGTAAGCTGCATGTAGTCCTGGTACAGTATGGGTGTTTGTGCCATTGGAGTCCACTTTCGTCTCTCTTTTGATGTAGTGTTCTGGGCATTTGTATGCAGGTTACTTATGGGACCAGAGGAAAGTTTCCTTTGTTTCTGTTACCTGTGAGTTAGAGGATAAAGTCCTTGCAACTTTTCAGCTCAAAGCAAATCTCATTTTTTTCAGGTACTATTTTGAAGCGTTGGAAGAAGAATTGGTTTGACCTGTGGTCAGATGGTCACCTGATCTATTATGATGACCAGACTCGGCAGAGTGTTGAGGATAAGGTCCACATGCCAGTGGACTGCATCAACATCCGCATGGGGCACGAGTGTCGGGGTAAGTGAGTCTGTTGTGGCAGCTTCTGTCCTCTACCTTTCACCATTCTTGGTGGGAGTTGAATCCTTTTTCTTCTCATTTTGCTTTCATTAGTAGACCAAAGAAGGGTTTCACCTGGGAGGTAACCACCGTGGGTACCTAGATTGTTGGATTGTGAATCATATGATTGGGGCAGATTGAATTTCCTCATCTGAATTAAACCCAGCAGTTCACATTCCTTGCTGTCTCATGGAGAAGGTGGTGGAAACAGCCAGAGTTCTGGGATCCCCAGAAAGGATGGAACCATGCTAGGCAGTATAGATTTTGTGACTCAGAAACGGGAATCTTATTGATCAGTCATCAGTTACTTAAAAATCCATGATAGCTTGGTTTCTTGGAGTTATCCCTTATATTCATTTTAAAGGAATAGATTTTTAATAAGTATAGACTTAGATTTTTAATTTTTAGAGAGACAGCACAAGTGGAGAAGGAATAGAAAGAGAGGGAGGCAGAGAATCCCAAGCAGGCTCCACACTGTCAGCACAGAGCCTCATGTGGGGCTTGAACTCACAAACCATGAGATCATGACCAGAGCTGAAACCAAGAGTTGGATGCTTTAACTGACTAAGCCACCCAGGTGCCCCTCTATTTCTAATTAATGACATATATAGACTTCCCTGTTAATTAGCTCTGTTTCTGTTTGGAATAAAGAGTCTGTGCTAGTGAACAGTGATGTTTGAAACCTCTTGCTCTTACATAAGACCTTTTGATGTTAGGTTGTGAAACAGTCATGTCCATGGGCCAGCTGTTGAAATCTGTACCTAAACCAAGCTCAAATATCATAGACCTTATTTCTTTGTACACAGTGATACTTTAAAAATAAGATTTTTCACTTTTATTTATTTACTTATTAAAAACAATTTTTTTTTGTTTTATTTATTTCTGAGAGAGAGACAGCATGAGCAGGGGAGGGTCAGAGAGAGGGGGAGACACAGAATCTGAAGACAGGCTCCAGGCTCTGAGCTAGCTGTCAGCACAGAGCCTGATGCAGGGCTCAAACCCATGAACCATGAGATCATGACATGAGCTGAAGTCAGACGCTTAACCAACTGAGCCACCCAGGCGCCCCTGATTTTCACTTTTAAAGCAGTGATCCGGTTTAGTGTTTTCTGTGAACAAAAGCAGTAAGTCTTCTGTTACCTGATGCTTCGTAACACTTTTCATTTTGTGGGGTTTATTTTTGTAATATCTGGGCTCTTCTATATATCTCCGTATGTGGATTGCCTTTTAGAAGAGACCTAAGTTTGATTGGAACAGAGTTGTGACTCATGTGCTTGATTCTGTGGAGCAGGACAAAGATGTTTTATAATTGGAATGTTCTTAAGTACTGGTCTTTTGCTTATCTGAGCTGTTATGTAAGAATAAATCCTTAAAAACTTATATAAATATTTCTTTATTCTACTTATTTTTTATAGATATTCAGCCTCCAGATGGGAAGCCAAAAGACTGTATGCTGCAGATTGTTTGCCGAGATGGGAAAACTATCAGTCTTTGTGCAGAAAGTACAGATGATTGTTTGTAAGTTTGGGGTTTTTTAATGTTATTAATTTAAAAAGGGTTGTGTTTTATTTCTAGTTACCTGGGAGGTAAAAGCATGAGAATGGAGTTTTCCTTCAGGCATCAGAATAAGTGACTAATAGGATGTATGAAAGAAATGTAACAGGCCTTCTTCCATCTCCAATAACTCTGCCTAGTTTCTGCCTCTCCAGAGCTGTTCAGGGGAGATCCCATTATAGTGGGAATGACAGGAGGTATTAGCATGTAGTCATTTTGCACTCTGTTTTCATCTGTAGATGCACATTGAGTAATGGGCATAATTGAATGGGTTCTTAAATCTTGTTCTTTTTATGTAAATGTCTTTTTAAAAAGTGCCGACATCTGTATTATGTAGTCTTTTTCTTCCTTTGATGATTCTTGTTCCATCTGCCTTCTCTGAAGAAGGGATATGAGATTTGGGGTGAAGAATTTTTTTTTCTGGCCCCTCTGTATCACTCCCGTGAGGTAATGCTGGACATTGTGGGAGTTCGCTAACAGATTACTGTAATATTCATATTAAAACATTCATATGTAGGTGACGTTTTCATATAATTCAGAGCAGTTTGTTAAGTGTCTGCTCTACATTTCACATTATATGTTCATCTTCAATATAAACATTTATTCCACGCTAAACTCTGGAGTTTATTTTAAGTCCTGTCTGTAGCTGCGTTTTTACACTCTTATTTATAGCCCCACATTGGGCTCTGCACTGACAGTATGGAGCTTGCCTCGGATTCTCTCTCTACCTTTCTCTGCCCCTCCTCCACTTATATGCATGTGCTCTCTTTCAAAATAAAGAAAGAAACTTTAAAAAAATTAAAAAGAGAAAGAGGGTTAGTGAGGTTAATGAATTTCCTGTATCACTTTTTTTAATGCTCCTATAGTAAATTATCCTGAGGTTAGTGGCTTCAAACAGTATAGATTTATGATTACGTTTCTAGAGGTCAAGAGTCCAGCCAGTGTTGGTAGGGCTGTGATCCCTTCCAGAGGCTCTAGGGGGCGATCTCTTTCCTTGCCTTTTCCAGCTTCTAGAGGCTTCCTGGTTTCTTAGCTTCTGGGCTGAGCCCCTCTCTTGTGCTCTTCTCTTTGGTACTTTGCAGCTGGGGAAGGTTATATGCTTTTAAGGACTGAATGAATAGTTTGGGCCAACCGGATGATCCAGGGTCATCTCCCCATCACAATGTCCTTCACTTTAATTATGCCTATAGAGTCCTTTGCCCTGTGAAGTAACATTCACAGGTTTTTGGGGATTAGGATGTGGACATGATTCTGCTCACCACACTTCCCAAGATTTTAGAGCTAGTGGACTAGACTCAGGATTTGAACCTTCATCTCCAGAGGCTGTTGTTCTTAGCTGCAGTGCTCTACTGTTCGCTGAGGTGTCACATGGAATGTTCTAAAAGAACGTAGTGGAAAAAATACCTGGAATTAGCAGTAATTAAACCAGTGATGTTTATGATCTCAATAAATGTGAATTGGTTAAATTCCCCATAAAAAGAGTAAGATCTGAGATTGAGTAAAGAATACAGAGTCTGTATAGTCTATTAACAAAAAACATACTTGAAATGAGAATGGTAAAGAAGTAAAGAATAGGAGAATGTTAGTTTGCTGTGGCAGCCATGAACTGTTTCTTAAAACAAGAAACGTATTCCCTCACAGCTCTGGAACCTGAGAATCTGAGCTCAGCATGTTAGCAGAGCCATGCTGCCTCAGACTCCTCAGTAGAACTCTTCTTGTCCCTTCTAGTTTGGGCTGTGGCTGGTAATTCTTAGCATTCCTTAGCTTGCCGCTGCGTCAGTCCAGTCTCTGCCTTCTGCTTCTGAGATTCCACACATGAGTAAAATAATATGGTACTTGTCTTTCTCTCACTGGCTTATTTTGCTTAACATTATACTCTCATTAACGTTAAATACACACACACACACATACACCACATGTTCTTTATCCATTTATTGATAGACACTTGGGCTGTTTGGCTGCTGTAAATAATGCTGCAGTAAACATAAGGGTACATGTATCTTTTCATATTCTTGGGGTATATTACTCAATAGTGTGATTACGGGAATATAAGGTAGTTCCATTTTGATTTTTTTTTTTAAGAATTAAAAAAATTGTTTATTTTTAGAGAGTGTGAGTGGTGGAGGGGCAGAAAGAGAGTGGGACAGAGAATCAGAAGTGAACTCTTTGCTTACAGCAGAGAGCCCAATGTGAGGCTCAAACTCATGAACTGTGAGATCATGACCTGAGCCGAAAATCAAGAGTTAAATGCTCAGTCGACTGAGCCACCCTGGTGCCCCTCCGTTTTGAATTTTTTGAGGAACTTCCATACTGTTCTCTACAGTGGCTGCATTAGTTTGCCTTCTCACCTACAAGGGTTCCTTCTCCACATCTTTGCCAATACTTATTGTTTCTTGTGTTGTTGATTTTAGCCATTCTGACAGGTGTGATGTGATACCTCATTGTGGTTTTGATTTGCATTTCCCTGATGATGAGTGATGTTGAGCATCTTTTCATGTGTGTTTTGGCCACCTGGATGTCTTTGGAGAAATGTCTGTTCATGTCTTCTGCCCATTTAAAAAAACTTTTTTAACGTTTATTCATTTTTGAGAGAGAGACAGAGTGTAAGCGGGGGAGGGACAAGAGAGAGAGGGAGACACAGAACCTGAAGCAGGCTCCAGGCTCTGAGCTGTCAGCACAGATCCTGATGCAGGGCTCGAATCCATGGACTGAGATCATGACTTGAGCTGAAGTCAGACGCCTAACTGCCCCTCTTCTGCCCATTGTTTAATTGTACTGTTCTTTTTAGGTGTTGAGTTTGCCAAATTCTTCATAGGTTTTGTATACTAACCCTTCATTGGGTATACCATTTGCAAATATCTTCTCTCATTCAGTAGGTATCTTTTAGTTTTGTTGGTTGCTTCCTTTGCTGTGGGGAAGCTTTTTATTTGAATGACATCTCAGTAGTTAATTTTTGCTTTTGTTTCCCTTGCCTTGAGTCCTGTCAAGAAAGAAATCGCCTTGGCCAGTGTCAGAGAAATTACTGCCTGTGTTCTGTTCTAGAATTTTTATAGTTTCAGTTCTCACATTTAGGTCCTTAACCCACTTTAAGTTTATTTTTGTGTATGGTGTAGAAAAATGGTCCAGTATCAAGAAAAAGCTCTTTAACATCAGTCTTGGCAGTGGTTTTTTGAATATGACCCCAAAAGTGCAAGTGGCAAAGGCAAAAGCAGACATACAGGACTATGTCAAACAATAAAACTTCTTTTTAAAAAATATTTATTTTATTTGGTTTTTAAATTTCTTTAAGTTCGTTTATTTATTTTGAGAGAGAGAGAGAGAGAGAGAATCCCAAGCAGGCTCCACACTGTCATCGTAGAGCCCGACTTGGGGCCTGATCCCATAAACTGTGAGAGCATGGCCTGAGCCCAAATCAAGAGTCAGATGCTTAACCAACTGAGCCCCCCAGGTGCCCCAAATTATAAAGCTTCTGGGCAGCAAAAGAAACCATCAGAAAAATGAAAGGCATCCTATGGAATGGGAGAAATTATTTGTAGACCATCCACATGATAAGGGCTTAGTATTAAAAATATATAAGAATTTGTACAACTTCATAGCAAAAAACCACAATCTTATTTAAAAATGGGCAAAGGACTTGAATACTTTCCCAAAGATATGCATATGGCCATCAGTATGGGAAAGGATGCTCAATGTGACTAATCACCAGAGAAAGGCAAAACAAAATCATAATGAGATTACCTCACATCTTTCAGAATGGCTGTTGTCAAAAAGACAAAAAAGTAAATGTTATGAGGATGTAGAGATAAGGGAGTTCTGTGCGTTGTTGGCAGGAATGTAAATTGTTACGTGTAAGCCACTGTGGATACATTATGGAGGTTCCTCTAAAAGTAGAACTGTCATATGATCCACCAAGTCCATTCTCGGTATATATTGAAGGAAGTGAAGTCGTTATCTTAAAGAGATTTATGCACCCTCGAGTTCACTGTAACCGTATTCATAGTACCTAAGACATGAAACAACCTAAGCAGTTGTTGATGGATGAATAGATCAGAAAAGTGTGACACACACACACACACACTGAGTATTATTCTATTAAGGAAAAAAAAATCCTGCCTCTTGGAACAACATGGAGGGACCTTGAAGGCATTGTGCTAAGTGAAATAAGTCACACAGAGAAAGACAATTATTATTCTATGTATCTCTCACTTGTAGAATCTAAAAAAGCCAAATTCCTAGAAAAAGATAGTAGAATGAATGGTGGTCAGGGGAAATGGGGAGATATTGGTCAGAGTGTACAAACTTCCAGCTTTATGATGAGTAAGTTCTGGGCATCCAGTTATATAGTGTTGTGATTATAATTAGCAAGTACTTGGGGCGCCTGGGTGTCTCAGTTGGTTGAGTGTCCGGCTTCGGCTCAGGTCATGATCTCACCATTCGTGGGTTCAAACTCTGCGTCGGGCTGTGTGCTGGCAGCTCAGAGCCTGGAGCCTGCTTCGGATTCTGTGTCTCCCTCTCTCTCTGACTCTCCTCTCCTCACCCTGGCTCTCTCTCTCAAAAATAAAAACATTAAAAAAAATAATTAGCAAGTACTTTATTATCTGCTTGAACAAGTTAAGAGAGTAGATTTAAGTATTATCAGAAAAAATAAAAAAGTAATAATGTGAGGGATGAACCCATGAGTCATACTGTGGTAATCGTTTTGCAATATATATCATCAAATTATCACATTGCATACCATAAACTTACATGTTATATATCAGTTTCTCAAGCTGGCAAAAAAATACTAGGACTGTTTTTAATCACAAAAAATTGCTGATAATCTAAATCTCTTATCATGGAACATTATGTGTCCATTTAAAAAAATGCAGTAGATCTGTGTGTGTGACATTAACTGGCAAAGCAAGTTGATAGTTAAACTGGGTGCATTGTTTTATACTTCCTAAAGAGTAAAGCAAACACTGTATAGTAATATTATGCTTAAATATTATGTAGTATAGGTACCACAGATGCATATTTTTTACATATTTTGTATTGTGCGTATCAAATGATTTGATTGAGTGGGTCTTGGACTGAAGCCCTTTTCTTGAAACAAGCTTTTTCAAAAATTTTGATGCTGACACAGGTTTGAGAATCCTTGAGGTAGATGTTGGATTGCCTAAAGTAAAGCATCCCTTTTTCTTTTTTCCAGGGCCTGGAAATTTACACTCCAGGATTCCAGGACAAACACAGTAAGTTGCTAAGGGTGATCACCTGTAGCACCTTGTCTTGCTGTAACAAACAGAGGAAGGGGATTAGGTCTCCCATCCAAGTACTAACCAGGCCCGACCCTGCTTAGCTTCCGAGATCAGATGAGATTGGGCGCGTTCAGGGTGGTATGGCCGTACATGAAAGGGGATTAGGAAAGAGAAATGGGGGCGGGTTTCCTGACCGTCCAGCCATGGCTGAGCCTGCATAGCAGGCAGGGCACCTTTTGCTGACATGAGAGTAAGTAGATTTTGCCAAGCCTTTTAAGGCAGGAGGATCCCTCCAAATATAGGCGACACTGGTTCTAGCATTATCTTCCAGAAGTATCTGTATCTCAGAAAGTTTTGCAGCACTCTGAATTCTGCTGTGGTTTACAGAGAAGGCTAAAAAAGGGCCAGAGTCCGTGCATGGCACCCCAGCCTTGTGAATCAAGTGTTTTTGGGGACTTGTACTTGACTCTAGTTCTGCTTTTGACCTTAGGAAGTCACTGAGACAGTAAGCCCCATTTGTAGGGACTCATAATGCTATTTTTGTGTCTGTCAGAGAATCAAGGCAGCTTCCTCTGTGGCAAACATTATTTTTCAGATAGGATTTTATTTTTCCCTTTATCTCTTTAGGAGGAAAAGAAAAAGGTGGATTTTAGAATAATTTGTACAGGTGGGAAAAGAAAGCAAAAAAGGGTTAATATCGAAATGTCATTGTTTCTTACTCCTGTTAGCCCAAGACTCCCTCCAAGTCTACTTTGCCACTCCAGTTAGCTTTTCCTTCACAAAAATCTTCTTGGCTGAAATTAGTATTAATGATTCACATTGTTGGGGCTGAGATCCCAAGATGATTCTTTGCATAGATTCATTATTATTATTTTTCTGAGTTTATTATTTTTTTATTCTGAAAGAGAGCACACGCATGCGCTTGTGGGGGCCGGGGGGAGGGGGGAGCAGAGAGAGAGGGAGAGAATCCCAAGCAGACTCTGCGCACTGTCAGCGTGGGGTCAGATGCCGGGCTCAAACCCAGGAGAACCATGAGATCATGACCTGAGCCGAAATCAAGAGTCAGATGCCTAGCGGACTGAGCCACCCATGTGCTCCTGGAATTTGTTTTTAAAAAAGTACATAGATTTTTCTTTTCCACTGGGAAGTAGTTTAATGAAGGAATTTTTTAATGCAAAAAGCAGACTCTGTGGAACCATCCCTGCTGCATTTCAGACTGTAGGGTTTATATTTAACAGAAGGGTTGTTGAGAGTGGTAGCACGTCTTTGAAAAGGCCTGGATAATGGTAGACCCTGGCCTCCTTGGGCAGTGAGAACTCTATTCCTGCTTTCTGCAGATGGTGAGGAGGGCGGCCTCCTCCAATTTCAGAGGATAAGAGACTACAGGATTAAGAGGGGGTTCTGTGGGGTGCATGGGTGGCTCAGTTGGTTAAGCATCCGACTTTGGCTCAGGTCATGATCTCACCGTTCATGGGTTCAAGCCCCACGTTGGGCTCTGTGCTGACAGCTAGCTCAGCCTGGAGCCTGCTTCAGATTCTGTATCTCCCTCTCTCTCTGACCTACCCCTGCTCACACTGTCTGTCTGTCTGTCTGTCTGTCTGTCTCTCTCTCTCTCTCAGAAATAAATAAATAAATAAATAAATAAATAAATAAATAAGGTATGTTAACCTTTAAAAAAAAAGAGGGGGTTCTGGGGAGAACTCTTGTTCACTGCTTTTCAGAGAGCTGTCATATTTGCTGTTCTAATTTTTAAACTTTGGCTAAATAGAAAGGATATGTGTATGTATAGAATCCTAAGGGCCTCTTTGTGGTTGCTTTGTGACAGCCCTCCCTCTTTCATTCTCTCTCCTCTCCTAGGCTTACGTTGGCTCAGAAGTCCTGTATGATGAGACAGCTGTGGCTGCTTCTCCTCCTCCTTACACAGCCTATGCCGCACCGACCCCTGAGGTAGGGAGCAAATCTTAGGATTTTGGAATCCAAGTGAAGGGAGGTTGGGGTCTCTGAGCTACTCTCCTTTTTAAGAAACAAAACCAAAAAAACCCTTGAGCAGCCAGTATCAGAGAAATTAGAAATGCGCTCAACACTTTTCTGTAAACTTTTTAAAAGATTATTATCATTGTTTTATTTTATAAAATAAAGCCACTGCTTTATAATCTTCATGTTCACATTTTGTTTTTAAGATAGGCCTAAGAACAATTCATGGTTTGTTTTTTTAATTTTTCTTAATGTTTATTTTTTAGAAAGAGACAGTGTGGGCAAGGAAGGAGCAGAGAGAGGAAGAGAGAGACAATCCCAGGCAGGCTCCACATTGCCTGTACAGAACCCAACCAGAGTGGGGCATGATCTCATGAACTGTGAGATGGTGACCTGAGCCGAAATCAAGAGTTAGATGCCTAACCTACTCAGGGGTGCCTGGGTGGCTCAGTCAGTTTAGCATCCGACTTTGGCTTAGGTCATGATCTCACCATTTGTGGGTTCGAGCCCTACATCGAGCTCTGTGCTGACAGCTAGCTCAGAGCCTGGAGCCTGTTTCAGATTCTGTGTCTCCCTCTCTCTCTGACCCTCCCCTGCTTGCTCGCTCTCTCTCTCTCTCTCTCTCTCTCTCTCTCAGAAAAAGAAAAAATAAAAATAAAAATAAATTTTAGATGCTTAACAGACTCAGCCACCCAAGAGCTCTACATTTTTTTACTTTGGGAAAAAAAAAAACTTAAAAAAAATCACATACCAAAAACCTTAGGGGTACCTCCAAGTTAGGTGTGCTAAAGGTACACTGCTACACATAGAAGTCTCTGTTGTGGGAGGTACTTCTGTTTTGTTTTCCTTTTTTAACTTTTAATTTTGAAATAATTATAGATTTATAGGAAGTTCCAAAAAATAACATGGAAAGATCTCATGTCCTCCTCATCCAGTTCCCCAGTTGTTACATGTTGTATAAAATCAAAACCTGGAATTTGAAATTGGCAAAATGTTTATGTTTGGTTTTATGTCATTTTATCATAGGTGTAGATTTGTGTAACCAGCCCTTCAGTCAAGATACAAAACTGTTGAGGGCCACCTGGGTGGCTTAGTCGATTAAGCGTCCGACTTTCACTTAGGTCATGATCTTGCGGTTCGTGGGTTCGAGCCCCGCGTCGGCCTCTGTGCTGACTGCCAGCTCGGAGCCTGGAGCCTGTTTCGGAGTCTGTGTCTCCCTCTCTCTCTCTGACCCTCCCCTACTCATGCTGTCTCTCTCTCTCTCTCTCTCTCTCTCTCTCCCCTAGAAATAAAAATACTAAAAAAAAAAAAAAAAAAAAAAAAAAAAAAAAAAAAAAAAAAGATACAAAACTGTTGATAAAATCTTGCCACTACACCCTTATGTATAGTTATACCCTCTTTCCCCTTCCTAACTCCTGTCAAACACTGATTTGTTCTCTGTCTATATAATTTTGTCATTTCCACAATGTTATATAAATCGAATCATACAGCATGTGATCTTTTTGAGTTTGATGCTTTTCACTTAGCACAGTGCCCTTGAGACCCACCCAAATTACCTTTTTTATTAACATTTCATTTTATTTTATTTATTTAAAAAAATTTTTTTTAATGTTTAATTTTGAGAGAGAGAGGAGACCGAGTGTGAGTGAAGGAGGGGCAGAGAAAGAGTGAGACAGAATCCGAAGCAGGCTCCAGGCTCTGAGCTGTCAGCACAGAGCCCAACATGCGTCTCGAACCTGCAAACCGTGAGATCATGACCTGAGCCAAAGTCGGATGCTCAATCCACTGAGCCACCCAGGCGCCCCAACCCATCCAGAGTATTGCATGTGTATCCCAGCATTTACCTGTTGGGGTTGTTTCAAAGTTTTGGCTATAACCTATAAATCTTACGGTGAATACTCCTCATGTACAGCTTTTAAAAAAAAATTATTTTAATGTTTATTTTTATTTTTGAGGGAGAGAGAGAGCGCATGAGCAAGCAGGAGAGGGTCAGAGAGGGGAGACACAGAATCCGAAGCAGGCCCCAGGTTCTGAGCTGTCAGCACAGAGCCGGATATGGGGCTTAAACTCACAAACTCTGAAACCATGACCTTGGCCAAAGTCAGAAACTTAACCAACTGACCCACCCAGGTGCCCCTATACAGCTTTTTATAAAGCTGTACATAAAGTTTTAAAGAGCTAAGAAACTACTTTCCAGAATAACTCTACCATTTTTCTTACATGAATTATCAGTTTCTCTGCATCTTCCCCAGCATTAAGTGGTATCACCATTTTTTAATTTTAGCTGTTTCTTACAGGTATGTAGTGATGTTTCATTCTAATCTTAATTTGCATTTCCCTAATAGCTAGTGATCTTAATAGCTAATAGCATCTTTTTATTTGCTATTATATATCCTGTTCAGTAAAATATCATTTCATGTCTTTTGCTTGTTTTCTAATTGTATTATTATTATTTTTTTAACATTGAGTTTTGAGAGTTCTTTGAGTTTATAGGAACGCTTTGTCAGATAACGTGGTCTGTAGCATGTGTTTTTATCCTCTTAACAGTGCCTTTCATGGAGTTTTAATTTGCATGTGGTCTAGTTTACCAGTTTCTATGCTATGTTTTTAAAGTTTCATAGTTCCAGGACTTACAGATGGGTGTTTTCCATTGTGAGTTAATTTTTTATAAGGTGTTAGAGTTGGGTTTATTGTTGTGAATATGAATGTTTACTTGTTCCACTACAGTTTGATGAAAAGTCCTTTCTGGAATTGCTTTTGTATCTCTGAAAATTTTCACTTGGCTGTATTTGTGTGTGTCTGTTTCTGGGTTCTCTGTTTTGTTCCATTGATCTGTGTGTTTTTCTTCCTCTGATGCCATACTGACTTGATTACTGTAGTTGTATGTCTTAAAATTGGATCAGCTGGTCCCCCACTTTATTCTTCCTTTTCAGATTTCCCTTAACTATTCTGGTTCTGTTTCCTTTCCAGATGATGTGTCTACATCTACAACAAAATCTTCTTGGTAGATTTTGAAAGAATTTGTTTTAAACCTGTGTATCAGGTTTTTGGGGGAGAATTGACATACTTATTGTGTTTAGTTTTTCAGTCAGTGAACATGGACTGTCTATTTAGATCCCCTTTGATTTTTTTCACCAGCATTTTGTAGTTTCAGTATGAAAATCTTGGGCATGTTTTGTTAGATTTATGCTTTAAGTTTTTTGTTTTTTTTTTGGATTGTTGTCTATAGTATTATATTTTAAATTTCAATTTCCCCAAGTTCATTGATTTTTGTTTGTTGATCTTGTAGCTTGTGAACTTACTAAAGTAGCTCACTTATTGGTTCTAGAAGTATGTTTTGTACATTCTCTGGGATATTCTATGCAGACAGCCATGTCCTCTACAAATAGGGAACATTTTCTTTCTTTCCAGTCTGTGTGCCTTCTATTTCCTTGCCCTGGTTGAACTTCTAATGTTATGTTGAATAGCATTGGTAAGATCAGTCCTCCTTGTCTTGTTCCTGATTTTAAGGGGAATGCATGCAGTTTTTCTATGTTACATGTGATGTTAGCTATAGTTTTTGAAGATGTTCAATAACAAGTTGAGAAAGTTCCTTTTCTAGTTTTCTGAGAGTTTCATCATGAATAGGTGTTGAATTTTGTCAAATACTTTTTCTGCATCAGTTGGCATGGTCATGTGATTTTTTTTTTTAACCTGCTAACATGATGGATTATACTGATTGATTTTCAAATATTGAACCAGCCTTGTGTCCCTGTAATAAACCTCACTTTGTTGGTTGTATAATTCTTTTATTGCTGAATTCCGTTTGCTAATGTAGTTATAAATTTTTGCATCTCTATTCATGAAGGATGTTGGCCTGTAGTTTTTTTTGTACTCTTGTTTGGTATTAAGTCATACTGGCTTTACAGAATGAATTTTAGGAAGTATTCCTTGCTTTTCTGTTTTCTAGAAGAGATTATATAGAATTTGTGTTCATTCTTTTTCTAATTTATTTTTTTAAGTTTTTAAATGTTTTTATTTTTATTAAAAAAATTTTTTTTAATGTTTTATTTATTTCTGAAAGAGAGAGAGAGACAGCGTGAGCAGGAGAGGGTCAGAGGGAGAGGAAGACAGAATCTGAAGCAGGCTCCAGGCTCTGAGCTAGCTGTCAGCACAGAGCCTGATGCGGGGCTTGAACCCATGAACCATAAGATCATGACCTGAGCCAAAGTCAGACGCTCAACCGACTGAGCCACCCAGCGCCCCTAAATGTTTGTTTATTTTTGAGACAGAAACAGAGTGTCAGCAAGGGAGGGGCAGAGAGAGAGGGAGACAGAATCTGAAGCAGGCTCCAGGCTGTGAGCACTCAGCTCAGAGCCCAATGCTGGGCTCAAACTCACCAACTATGAAATCATGACCTGAGTTGAAGTCAGATGCTCAACTGACTGAGCCACCCAGGCGCCCCATATTAATTCTTTTTTAAAATATTTGGTAGAAATTTCCAGTGAAACAGTCTGGGCCTGAAGATTTTGGGGGTGGGGTATTTTTAATTACAAATTTTATTTTTTTTAATGTTTGTTTATTTTTGAGAGAGAGAGACAGATTGTGGGTGGGGGAGGTGCAGAGAGAATGAGAGGGAGACACAGAATCTGAAGCAGGCTCCAGGCTGTGGAGCCTCAGACTCACAGACCTAGAGATCATGACCTGAGCCGAAGTCGGATGCTTAGTTGACTGAGCCACCCAGGTGCCCCCAAATTCTATTTTTTTAAATAGGCTTTTCATTTTCTATTTCATATTGAGTGGGTTGTAGTAATTTGTACTTTTTGAGTAATTGGTCCTTTTCATATAAGTTGTCTAATTTACATTTGCACATGTGTCATTTGGTCCATAGGTGTTTATATTTTCTTGGTGGATTAACTATTATCGTAATGTTGTGTCCCTTTCTGTTTCTGGTAATTTTCTCTAGTCTGATGTCTGATATTAATATAGTCACTTCTTGCTTTTCATTATTTGCATGGTATCTCTTCCCATCTTTTTTTTTTTTTCAATCTACATATATCATTACATTTGGAGTGAGTTTCTCATAGACAACATATACATGGGTCATCTCTTTCTGACATCTCACAAATCTCAATTTTGTAATTAGTATATTTAGACCATTTACATTTAATATAATATTTGATATATTAGGTTTAAGTATGCCATTTTGTTTTTTTGTTTCCCTTTGGTTCTGTTTTTTTTTTTTTTTTGATTTCTCTATTTTTTTACTTAAGCTTTTTGTGAGTTATTTGAACATGTTTTATAATTGTGTTTTGAGAGGTGCTTGGGTGGCTCAGTTGGTTAAGCATCCAGCTACGGCTCAGGTCATGATCTCACGGTTCTTGAGTTCATGCTCTGCATTGGGCTCTATGCTGACAACTCAGAGCCTGGAGCCTACTTCAGATTCTGTCTCCCTCTCTTTCTGCCCCTGCTCGTGCTGGTCTGTCTCTCTCAAATAAACATTAAAATAATTTTTTTTAAGTTGCATTTTGGGGCGCCTGGGTGGCTCAGTCAGTTAAGCGTCCGACTTCGGCTCAAGTCATAATCTCATGGTTTGTGAGTTCGAGCCCTGCATTGGGCTCTGTGCTGACAGCTCAGAGCCTGGAGCCTGCTTCAGATTCTTTATCTCCCTCTCTCTCTGACCCTGCCCTGCTCACGTTGTCTCTCTCTATTGGATTAAAAAAGATATGAGAATTAAAAATAAGAAGAAGAAGAAGAAGAAAAGAATTTTAAAAACTGCATTTTGATTTATCTGTAATGTTTCTCCTCAGAAACCATGTAGGTAGCCTTGCTACTTTCATTGTCCTTAGTTTTCAGAAGTTTGCCTATAATGTGTTGGTATGGATTTGGGGGGGTGTCATCCTATTTGGTCTTTTATATGTAAGTTTGTGTTTCTTGCTAAGTTTGGGGAAATTTAGGCCATTATTTCTGGAATGATTTTTTCAGCCTCATCCCCTTTCTCTTTTGAAACTAATAACATGGATGTTAGATGTCCCACATGTCTCAGATTCTGTTCATTTTCTTTTCTTCAGTATATTTCCTCTCTCTCCCAATTTATACCTACATTTATTGATTCTTTTTTTCTGACATTTCTATTCTGTTTTTCGACAACTGAGAATCCTAAAACATCAGGTGGTTAAAAAAAAAATACGTTCAGAGCAGAAACTCTGGTAAATGAGCATCAGCTTCAACTTCAGGTCACCAGCTGCATTAGCCCGTAATGCACTCAGCTTGTCCTTTGAGGTTTTGAAGCCTGGCATTGACTTCTCCTGTCTAGCTATGAAAGTCCTAGGTAGCATCTTCTTCCAGTAGAAGGCTGTTTCATCCACACTGAAAATCTCTTGTTGGGCATAGCCACCTTCATGAATGATCTTGGCTACATCTTCTGGGTAACTTGCTGTGGCTTCTACACCAGCTCTTGCTGCTTTACCCTGGACATTTGTTATGGAGGCAGCTTCTTTTCTTAAACCTCATGAACCTACCTCTGCTGGTTTCATACTTTCTTCTGCAACTTGCTCTCTCAGCATTCACAGAATTGAAGAGAGTCAGGGCCTTCTTCTGGGTTAGACTTTGGTTTAAGGAAATGTTGTGACTGGTTTGGTCTTCTGTCCAGACCACTCAAACTTTCTCAGTATCAGCTATAAGCCTGTTCTGTTTTCTCACCACTTGTGTGTTGACTGGAGTAGTGCTTTCAATTCCCTTCAAGAACTTTTCCTTTGCACTCACAGCCTGGCTAACTGTTTGGTGCAAGAGGCCCAGCTTTTGGCCTGTCTCAGCTTTCAACACGCCTTCCTCACTGCACTGAGTCATCACTAGCTTTTGATTTAAAGTGAGAGATGGGCAACTCTTCCTCTCACTCGAGCACTTAAGAGACCATTGTAGGGTTCTTATTAATTAGCCTCTTTTAAATATCACTGTATCTCAGGGAGGAGACCTGAGAGGGAGAGAGACAGGAATTAGTGGTTGGTGGAGCTCAGAACACACAAGATTTATCGATTAAGTTCACCATCTTATACGGGCATGGTTTGTAGTGCCCCAAAACAATTATTATCCATTAAAGATCACTGGTCATGATCACCATGACAAATATAATAATAAATGGGGCACCTGGGTGGCTAAGTCATTTGAGTGACCAACTCTTGATTTCAGCTCCAGTCATGATCCCAGCATCATGGGATCAAGCCCTGCAGTGGGCTCTGCACTGAGCATGGAGCCCGCTTAAGGCAGCGTGCGTGCATGTGCACACCCTCTCCCCCCTCCCTCTCCCACTCCCTCTGCTCCACTCTCCTGCTTGTGTGCTTCCTTGCTCTCTCTCAAAAAAAAAAAAAAAAAAAACTTTGAAGTATTGTGAGAATTAGCAAAATGTGACACAGAGACGAAGTGAGCAAATGCTACTGGAAAAATTGTGCCAATAGACTTGTTCAATGTAGGGTTGCCACAGACCTCCAGTTTGTTAAAACACAGTATCTGCAAGTGCAGTAAAGTGAAGCACAATAAAATTCCATTATGACGTTGAATGAAAGTAGTGAAAGTAGGCAGGCACCCCATTGTCTTGTTTCTATCTTAGCGGAAAGCTTTTAACTTTACACCATTGTTTTATGACGTCAGCTATGAGCTTGTCATATGGCCTTTATAATGTGGAGGTACATTCCCTCTCCACCTACTTTGTTTTTATTATAAATGGATGGTGAATTTCAAAATTGTATATCTGATGGGCCTGTTTCTTTTCAGCAGGCATATGGCTATGGTCCGTACTATGGTGCATATCCTCCAGGAACTCAAGTTATCTATGCTGCAAATGGACAGGCTTATGCTGCACCCTACCAGTACCCATATGCAGGTAACTCATGCCCACCATGCATTCATTCCTTACTTCTCTTCATTTAGTGGGTACATCTGTGAGGCCTGAAAGATGTGTGTTTCTTAGTTTAAGGATAAGTGAGCTATGCTTCTGGTTATAGACCACATCATTCTGCTACCATGCTTTACAAAAGAAAAAGGATTATATGTTTTTACGTTGTCTTACAAAGTTGGAGTAGGCTTGTTAAAACTTCACTATTGTATCCAGATTTATTCCTAAGGAGAGAATCTGTACCTACTGGTATTCACTTATATCCCATTTTAAAGGATAACTTTCTCCTATTTTTTCTCTTCTGGTAACATCTTTCAAAATTATCACTACTGAGGCAAAACTCCACTTTGCAAGTAAAGTAAAGGCCTGGAAGGTTCTTACATTTATTCCAGGCTTTTGATGCACTTCTATTTTTCACCTTACCTGAGAAAAATTTTAGATGTGAGTAAGTGGCTTGTGTAGGTAGCATCAAGTTCTGGGTGCAGTGTGGGCAGGGGGAGGTCTAAGGTGGAGGTGCAGGAGAATGCTGGCCAAGAGGCCAGAGCCTACAGTCAGATCGAGGGGGCCTGAGAGCATGTGGTTGATGGACTGAAGCACAAGACCTCAGTGAGAAGCCCGGCAGGGGCAGACTGCAGTGCTTATGGCACATCGGATCGGCATATAAGTGAATGAGCTGGCAAATAGCTTACAGCTAGAGGCCTGAGCCCAGAGAGAGTTTGGGAATCTGAGGGGATTGTGAGCAAACCTAGTGCAGTGTCTTAACACAGAAGCCGTGGAAGAAGAATGTATTACCAGAAAGGTACATGGTCACTGATGTTCATACACAGAGAGGCCCAGGGCTGCTGGCCCGGAGTACAAGTTTCCTTCTGGTTTCTCATAGGTTAACACCCAATATGAGAGGTTCTCTGTCCATCTGCTCCTGCAGTCTGATGCAGTTCAAACAGCTAGCATGGACTGTGAAGGATTCTGCTTGCTGGACTTTTTTTCATGTCAAGTTGAAAACTAATAAAATGATGATGCTTAAAAAAAAAAAAAAGAAGAAGTATTTATTGGTCCTGTGATCTTAGCACAACTATTTTGTTTGAGTTACTTTCCCCATGGGGTGCCTGGGTAGCTCAGTCGGTTAAGCATCTGACTTCAGCTGAGGTCATGATCTTATGGCTTGTGGGTTCAAGCCCCACGTCGGGTTCTGTGCTGACAGATTGGAGCTTAGAGCCTGCTTCACATTCTCTCTCTCTCTCTCTCTCTCTCTCTCTCTCTCTCTCTNTCCCAAGGAGTCTCCACACTTAGAGCCCAACACAGGGCTCAATCTCATGACTGTGAGATCATGACCTGAGCCGAAGTCGGATGCTTAGTTGACTGAGCCACCCAGGTGCCCCCAAATTCTATTTTTTTAAATAGGCTTTTCATTTTCTATTTCATATTGAGTGGGTTGTAGTAATTTGTACTTTTTGAGTAATTGGTCCTTTTCATATAAGTTGTCTAATTTACATTTGCACATGTGTCATTTGGTCCATAGGTGTTTATATTTTCTTGGTGGATTAACTATTATCGTAATGTTGTGTCCCTTTCTGTTTCTGGTAATTTTCTCTAGTCTGATGTCTGATATTAATATAGTCACTTCTTGCTTTTCATTATTTGCATGGTATCTCTTCCCATCTTTTTTTTTTTTTCAATCTACATATATCATTACATTTGGAGTGAGTTTCTCATAGACAACATATACATGGGTCATCTCTTTCTGACATCTCACAAATCTCAATTTTGTAATTAGTATATTTAGACCATTTACATTTAATATAATATTTGATATATTAGGTTTAAGTATGCCATTTTGTTTTTTTGTTTCCCTTTGGTTCTGTTTTTTTTTTTTTTTTGATTTCTCTATTTTTTTACTTAAGCTTTTTGTGAGTTATTTGAACATGTTTTATAATTGTGTTTTGAGAGGTGCTTGGGTGGCTCAGTTGGTTAAGCATCCAGCTACGGCTCAGGTCATGATCTCACGGTTCTTGAGTTCATGCTCTGCATTGGGCTCTATGCTGACAACTCAGAGCCTGGAGCCTACTTCAGATTCTGTCTCCCTCTCTTTCTGCCCCTGCTCGTGCTGGTCTGTCTCTCTCAAATAAACATTAAAATAATTTTTTTTAAGTTGCATTTTGGGGCGCCTGGGTGGCTCAGTCAGTTAAGCGTCCGACTTCGGCTCAAGTCATAATCTCATGGTTTGTGAGTTCGAGCCCTGCATTGGGCTCTGTGCTGACAGCTCAGAGCCTGGAGCCTGCTTCAGATTCTTTATCTCCCTCTCTCTCTGACCCTGCCCTGCTCACGTTGTCTCTCTCTATTGGATTAAAAAAGATATGAGAATTAAAAATAAGAAGAAGAAGAAGAAGAAAAGAATTTTAAAAACTGCATTTTGATTTATCTGTAATGTTTCTCCTCAGAAACCATGTAGGTAGCCTTGCTACTTTCATTGTCCTTAGTTTTCAGAAGTTTGCCTATAATGTGTTGGTATGGATTTGGGGGGGTGTCATCCTATTTGGTCTTTTATATGTAAGTTTGTGTTTCTTGCTAAGTTTGGGGAAATTTAGGCCATTATTTCTGGAATGATTTTTTCAGCCTCATCCCCTTTCTCTTTTGAAACTAATAACATGGATGTTAGATGTCCCACATGTCTCAGATTCTGTTCATTTTCTTTTCTTCAGTATATTTCCTCTCTCTCCCAATTTATACCTACATTTATTGATTCTTTTTTTCTGACATTTCTATTCTGTTTTTCGACAACTGAGAATCCTAAAACATCAGGTGGTTAAAAAAAAAATACGTTCAGAGCAGAAACTCTGGTAAATGAGCATCAGCTTCAACTTCAGGTCACCAGCTGCATTAGCCCGTAATGCACTCAGCTTGTCCTTTGAGGTTTTGAAGCCTGGCATTGACTTCTCCTGTCTAGCTATGAAAGTCCTAGGTAGCATCTTCTTCCAGTAGAAGGCTGTTTCATCCACACTGAAAATCTCTTGTTGGGCATAGCCACCTTCATGAATGATCTTGGCTACATCTTCTGGGTAACTTGCTGTGGCTTCTACACCAGCTCTTGCTGCTTTACCCTGGACATTTGTTATGGAGGCAGCTTCTTTTCTTAAACCTCATGAACCTACCTCTGCTGGTTTCATACTTTCTTCTGCAACTTGCTCTCTCAGCATTCACAGAATTGAAGAGAGTCAGGGCCTTCTTCTGGGTTAGACTTTGGTTTAAGGAAATGTTGTGACTGGTTTGGTCTTCTGTCCAGACCACTCAAACTTTCTCAGTATCAGCTATAAGCCTGTTCTGTTTTCTCACCACTTGTGTGTTGACTGGAGTAGTGCTTTCAATTCCCTTCAAGAACTTTTCCTTTGCACTCACAGCCTGGCTAACTGTTTGGTGCAAGAGGCCCAGCTTTTGGCCTGTCTCAGCTTTCAACACGCCTTCCTCACTGCACTGAGTCATCACTAGCTTTTGATTTAAAGTGAGAGATGGGCAACTCTTCCTCTCACTCGAGCACTTAAGAGACCATTGTAGGGTTCTTATTAATTAGCCTCTTTTAAATATCACTGTATCTCAGGGAGGAGACCTGAGAGGGAGAGAGACAGGAATTAGTGGTTGGTGGAGCTCAGAACACACAAGATTTATCGATTAAGTTCACCATCTTATACGGGCATGGTTTGTAGTGCCCCAAAACAATTATTATCCATTAAAGATCACTGGTCATGATCACCATGACAAATATAATAATAAATGGGGCACCTGGGTGGCTAAGTCATTTGAGTGACCAACTCTTGATTTCAGCTCCAGTCATGATCCCAGCATCATGGGATCAAGCCCTGCAGTGGGCTCTGCACTGAGCATGGAGCCCGCTTAAGGCAGCGTGCGTGCATGTGCACACCCTCTCCCCCCTCCCTCTCCCACTCCCTCTGCTCCACTCTCCTGCTTGTGTGCTTCCTTGCTCTCTCTCAAAAAAAAAAAAAAAAAAAACTTTGAAGTATTGTGAGAATTAGCAAAATGTGACACAGAGACGAAGTGAGCAAATGCTACTGGAAAAATTGTGCCAATAGACTTGTTCAATGTAGGGTTGCCACAGACCTCCAGTTTGTTAAAACACAGTATCTGCAAGTGCAGTAAAGTGAAGCACAATAAAATTCCATTATGACGTTGAATGAAAGTAGTGAAAGTAGGCAGGCACCCCATTGTCTTGTTTCTATCTTAGCGGAAAGCTTTTAACTTTACACCATTGTTTTATGACGTCAGCTATGAGCTTGTCATATGGCCTTTATAATGTGGAGGTACATTCCCTCTCCACCTACTTTGTTTTTATTATAAATGGATGGTGAATTTCAAAATTGTATATCTGATGGGCCTGTTTCTTTTCAGCAGGCATATGGCTATGGTCCGTACTATGGTGCATATCCTCCAGGAACTCAAGTTATCTATGCTGCAAATGGACAGGCTTATGCTGCACCCTACCAGTACCCATATGCAGGTAACTCATGCCCACCATGCATTCATTCCTTACTTCTCTTCATTTAGTGGGTACATCTGTGAGGCCTGAAAGATGTGTGTTTCTTAGTTTAAGGATAAGTGAGCTATGCTTCTGGTTATAGACCACATCATTCTGCTACCATGCTTTACAAAAGAAAAAGGATTATATGTTTTTACGTTGTCTTACAAAGTTGGAGTAGGCTTGTTAAAACTTCACTATTGTATCCAGATTTATTCCTAAGGAGAGAATCTGTACCTACTGGTATTCACTTATATCCCATTTTAAAGGATAACTTTCTCCTATTTTTTCTCTTCTGGTAACATCTTTCAAAATTATCACTACTGAGGCAAAACTCCACTTTGCAAGTAAAGTAAAGGCCTGGAAGGTTCTTACATTTATTCCAGGCTTTTGATGCACTTCTATTTTTCACCTTACCTGAGAAAAATTTTAGATGTGAGTAAGTGGCTTGTGTAGGTAGCAT